CCAGTTTTTAAACTAAACCCAGCAATAAGCTTGATTAATAGCAGGGTCTCCCCCATTTCAGAAAAGATCCAAATCACTTTGGGACCGAGGAAGGAGCAAGCCCTGGTTGCTTTGGTTGGAACCTCCCACCTTCCGGTGGGTTCCCACCTCAGCCTGCAACCTTTTGTTCGCAAAGGTGCTCCTTCCACAACAAGGGCACCAGCGAGATGCACCTCACCGGGTATTTTGAGCCGGCCCCTTCGATCAGCACTTGGGCTTACTTGGGCTTTTTCTCGCCCATGAGGCTTCAGTTCGGGGGTCCGCAAACATGGGGCGGGTTTTGAGGGTCCCAAGGAATGGGTTGCTATGGGCTTTCTCGATCGGAGGGCCTGAGAGTCTGCATTGGAGGGTCATGACCCTTACCCAGTTTGAATGGGAAACCAAAAACCGTTTTGCGGTCTGGTTCGAGACAAACCAGCATCGCGAGAGAAACCACATCGGGAGACGACCTTGGTGGGATACTGCGGCAGCACCACCCTGCCCCTCTGTTGGTTGTGGAAATTGGGGGTGGCCCCCTTGTCCCTGTAAGGTAGGGGGGACGTTGGAGGGAATTGCCAGCTTGTGTGTGTGTGTGTTTTGGTCAGCCTGTTTTTCAGGGGGGGCAACCCGTGATCGACTTTTTTTGTTGGGGAATTGAAGGGGTCAACTCCCTTTCTCGACTTCTTGGTTCACCCACCTTCCAAGAGCACTTTGCCATCTCAGATCTTCCTGGTGCTGCCCTTGTCTCAGCTTGCGTTGGAGGTTTCACTGACTACCCGTGTTTATTCGGGTGTATTTGGAACAAACCAAGTTTTTCGAGGCAAAGACTCTCTTTTTTGAGGGGAACAAAGATACAACGATGACTGACATCATTGTACACCATACCCTAAAACATGTGGGTATTGGGAGTAGGGGGTAAACTCCCAAGGCTGCCGATTCCTATCCAACAGATATGAAACGAAAAGCCTGGATGTGTTCATCGTGTTTCATCAGCAAGTGGTTGACCAGCGAGGTACTTGTTTCGGAGACTGCCCAAGTGTTCGGATTGGGATGAGGATTGCCTTTGGGCTTGGGAAACCCAACGGTTGTGGGGTATATCCTGAGGGAGCCGAGAATCCGTTTGTATTGGCCTCAAGCTGTTGGGGTCTGGTGGTGCTTAGGCAACTACGGAAATCATGGGGGATCGGTACTTCGCAAATCAAGTAGAGGTGGCTAAGTTTCTGGACTTTATACTTTTGGGAGAACCAGGTCAACAACATTATTGGATGTTTTGTTTGGCCACCACTCAGGAAGTGCGGTCTAGTTGTGGTTACGTTTCAAGCTTGCCTTGTTTGGCCGGCTGCAAGTTGTGCAACAAGCCGTCTGCGAGCCTTTTCTTGCGACGAGGACGGGATTCCAGACGGGGACTCTGACGAGGAGGAAGAAGAAGAGGAAGAAAGCGAGGAGGCACGTAAAGACGGGCTGACTTAAACAGTTGGTATCTCATGAAAAGCCAAAAGCAACCCAGCCATTTTACAGGAACCCCCCTGTTGGTTAGCATGCAAACCTGGGCAAATAAAAGCGAGCTCACCAAGAGAGGTTGCAAGGTCACCCGTGATACGGCTCCGACGGCTCCTTTCAACAATGGAACCATGATGAAGGCTCCTTTTAACTCCCCCCAGACAATTGCAAGTAGGCACGTATGTGCTTCATTGAGGGTGCCCTGTTTGGATTGGTTTAAAGGGAAACCAGAAGGACAAATACTTTTTTGGGCTCCCATTTGACAAACAGTCCAGCGTTTCGCCTTTGCCTTCCCTTTGCGCGCGAAGGGAGGTGATGCCATGGTGGCAAAATTGCGTTGCGACTTGAGAAAGCCCTTCTTCAAGCAAGGGGTGGGAATGGAACCTCGCCAGCTAACAGGTTGCCACGTTTGAATCATGGCTTGGTGACGGCTTCGGGTTGTCAGGCAAGGGCAACTTCCTGACCGGAACCTTTCCATTTGTCAGGATGCACCGCCGCCAAAGAAGAAGTCCAAGAAATGAAAGGTGCAAGGGCGCGGCAAAATTGCGAAAAGGCGTGCGACGGTTCCGGAGTCCCAGACATTTTGTACGGGCCTAAACTAAGTGAATAGGCTTGTGGGGTAAGTTGAAACCATATTTCAGTCATGCTCTAGGTCGTAAAGTATTCGGAAATATTGAGCCCCCCTGTGTTTTCCCAGTTTTGGGTGTGTGTGTGTGTTCTTTGGGTACCCTTTTCAAGGTTAGGTTGAAGGGAATCAAAGGACAACTGCCCTTGTTGGGTCCTGTGTTGACACACCCACATCCTGTTCATTTGCAGGTTCACAAAACAAAGGGGCCATCTCAAAATGCCAACTTGAGCTGGGGGCAACAGCTGAGGCAGCTCCACCGTAGACAGCGGGTCAACGTGGTGTTTGCATGCTGGTGATGATTACAAGGATGGGTGTGCTAGCACCCTAGATGTGCATTCAGTTCCAGCATTGCAATAGCGATCACATAAACACACAGACAACTCAGTATATACACACTCAGAGGAACACGGGCACACACTCACGGAGTATGCGGTAGCAAACATATGGTGTAGAAGCCCCAAAAACGCACCTCTCCCGCCAGCTTATTTGCCAGATGGAGCAGTTCGGAACATGGTCTCACCCCCACAGGATGTGCCAAATGCAAGTCGCAGCCAACTGACATGTGCTGCTGCAAATGACACAAAGGCTCAACCATGCTATAGCGTGAAGCAATCAACCACGACTCTTTGTCTCTATCTCTTTTAGATAACTCTACGCATTCAGATTCACTATGGATTGTCGGTTGGGGAAAAAGCTACTTTGGTCGCGGCCCGTGTCAGCTCTGCGCTGTGAGACTTGCCTTTCGCTCGGATAGGCGAAATCCGAAAAGCGATACTTCCCATGGCTTGAGAGCGACGGTATGGCTGCGGCAAAAACGCGAAGACTGCAAAACTGGGGGCATGATGTTGACTGTTTCTAAGGGTGAAAGGCAGAAAATGGTTGGTTGTTTCCTTTCACCCACCACAAGTTGATTTGATCATGGTGACATACTGGCCAGTACATCCTGCACCACTTGGGATGGATGAAGCCTCACCTTCCTGTGCAGGACTTCGTCCATCAGTAGCTGCGGGATTGCATGTTTGAATTTGCACCATACATGTTGTGCTATCTGTCCTGTTTGTCTTGACTGCTGGAGTTGAGTCTGCGCCAAGACACTAGATGTGGTGCAGCCCAATCCACATTTGAGACTGTAATGCTGCTACTCAGCTGTTGGAGGGAACGCATATCCCATGTGGAGACAAGCCCATATGGAACACAACTTACATCATTTCAAGTAAGAGAGTAGAAGGGGACATGATTGATCATGAATAGAGGCATTCGGCTGCTGCAGAGTGGAAAGCTGCGTCGAGTTTTGGCAGCTCTTTGCCAACCTGGCTGTATGGCGATCGTTATCCTTCTCTTGCCTGAGTTGCCAATTGTTGCACTTGTTGGTATCAGCACCCAACCGCACTCGGGATGGACATGCCAAAGTCCCGACATTGGGCCCCTGAGAAATCGGGGCAACCCTTCAGCCGCAAAAAATCAAACTGGTCAATCATCTCAGGTCCAGCAGCCTTTCCATGTTTGAAGGGTATCTCCTGCATGTTTCTACTGACATTCATACCCACCCCCCCAAGCCCTTTCTGTTCGAAAGTTGTGGACTAAACCCGTCGGTTGGAAATAAGTGACAAGTAGTAGTACAAGTAGTAGTAGTAGTAGTAGTAGTAGTAGTAGTAGCAGTAGCAGTAGCAGTAGCAGTAGCAGTAGCAGTAGCAGTAGCAGTAGCAGTAGCAGTAGCAGTAGCAAAACCTCAAAGCTAAGAGCAATGACAGGTGTTGCGTAGGTGCGGTTTGGTCTCAGTTTTATCCTGATGTATGGTCCATGCTTCGGGACATGGATACATCCGACCGGGGCACTCACAAAGTTTCCAGTGCCCTTCCGGAGCATTTGGACAGCTCAATTTAAGGAGGGAGGCCAATGGTGGACTTGGGTCCGAAAGAGTGAACAGTTCGGCTCGCGTTTTTGGATCCGGGTGGTGGTTTGGTTACATGACGCCAAATGGGCACCTAGTTAAGGCTTACCCTCCGAACCAACCTAACCACCATTTCGGATGTAATCCGTGTGTGTGTGTGCAGCCCATGCTGGAGGGAGTCGTTGGCCGGAAGCACATGCATCCGCCGGGTTGAACCGCAGTCGTGTAGATTCATGCCACAAGCAATCAGAAGCTTAATCTCGGAAAAGCAGCCCGCTTCTTGGGGCAATTCTTGGTCCAACATCACTCTCTTGAAAATCGTCTTGGAGCCAAGACACTTCTTTGAGGCATTGGCCTTGGAGATTCATGAGCTCATGGCATCTGGGCAAAATATATTACCACATCACCAGACTGAGCTTGCCTTTTGACACTCTTGGATTCTAAACGTGTCTGTCTTTTTTTGGGGGTCCCCATGTTGGTGAATTTTCAAAAAGAGCCAAACGACATACCCAAATGAATTCGCAGAGAAGCCTGCCTTTTCCATTTTGCCCTTGGTGTTCCTTCATTTTCCCACATGTTGGCTCTGCTCATTCGAGCTGGGCTTTTTGCTTGCAACCTCCTGGGGATCCCTTGGACTTAGATCCCTTCCTAGATGAAGTTACTAGTTCCGAACCTAGTTTGGCTTAGTGCCTTACCTTAGTTTCCGAGGTATGCTTCCAGGCTTTCCTGCTAAGTTGACTGGGTATTGGGAGGGGATTCCCCTTTGACTGACCTTGAAAAGACTGGGCATTGACCATTTCTGGGGGAGTCCTTCATTTTTGGTCCTATAATATATAGTGCATAGCTATATACTTATACATATATGATACAATATGATACATGAAAGTGTATTTATATATATTTCTATACATATATATATATATATTGATCATGGGGATTCCGTGTTCCATGACCTCCGCAACTAGGCTCAAGAGGGGAGGCGCCGGTCGCTTCCCCACCGCGCGCGCAGAAAGCGCCGCGCGCGTCCTTTGCTTTTTTGCAGCGCGCTGTGCGCGCGCTGCCCGAGCCAAGCGGGGGGCCCGGGCTGGACCTGCACTGGAAGGTTTCGGATCGCCACCCCCTGAAAACTAGAATTGGGTTCCGTTCATGGTTCCATTTTCCTAGACAATGCAATTGGGGAAACTCCCCTCCCCCTTATGGTAGGGGGATGGTTTCGGACAATGACCTGTTTGAGGTCCCAAGATTCTTGTGGGGAGCGCCTTCCCGCATCGCTCTCATGTTTTCAGAAGATTAGGGAATAGCCATCCAAATGCATGGCTCCGGCTACATGTGCAAACCAAGCAGGCTTCCGATAATTCATAATTCATGTGCCCTTTGGGATGTGGGAAAATCGGATGGTGTTGGTGTGTACGCGTTCCCCATATCGGGGATTTGTGAAGATTGAATTGATTGGCCCCACCTCATTTGGGATTGCGTCAAAATAAAGGAACCCCAAAGGTGGTGGTTTTCCGAGAGGCGCATACCCTCAAACATGCAAACACCCATTTCGAACATCTTTCATGTTCTGGGGAGGGTACCTTTTCCGGGGTTGGGTCAAAGGGAAACCAAAAGTACCATTCGCCAGCAGGCATTTTGAGAAGGGACACCTGAAAGTGGCATTGTACACGTTTGGGTCCAGGTCCCGCGCAACCAGCAGCCTTCTTGGAAAGAGGGGACTCGTTTGATGTCCAGCCAAATGCCGACACAAACCTACCAAAACATGGCTTAGCATTGCTCTGTAAGTTGCAGTCATGGTCCAGCAAAGCGCCTTCTCCATGCCGGACTGGGGTTGGAAACTGTCAGTGCCCCAGGGCCGAAACGGTCAGGTCATGGGCTGTGCAGCCGGGCGCCAGCCGGACAGTCGGGATGTGCCGTCATCATTGGACCCTCCATGGGTTTGGTGGGGACGTTTGGTGGGGACCTTTTGGTGTTCGTTTTGGTTGCGACTCAAAGCGGTGGTGATGGCAAAAGTTTTGAGGCAGCCAAAACCAACACCAATGGAGGTCCCTAAGTCCCTCAACGGAGTCCAGTGACGCTGCCCCACCTTGCGAATCACCTTGTGGATTCTGAGAGGGCGGGTATTCCCTTCCCAAAGAACCGGCAAGGGCACGAGCCCGCACAAGGCTGGCGTACCTTTCAGGACCGCCAAGTCGCCAAGCCTTTTCTTAGGGTTCCAATGTTCCAACGATATTTCCAGAACAGGTGCAGGTGTGACATTAGCTTCGGTTGCACTTTCAAGTCCATTGGTTATAAGTTATAAGAGTACCCTTTAGCCAACTTGCGCTTGGTCAATTGATACCCTTTCAACTATTTAGCAATGAAAGAGCAATTAGACCACGGGAGGGGACCTTTTGCGAAGGCATTGCCAATTAAGCTGAGTTTCCTTGCAGGGCGATCCCAGCTCTACTCCAGACCAACCCTTTTCGAGAGCCGATGGATTTCCAACGCGCGGCCTGGGTCAAAATGTCCAGCTGGTCCGCAGCAAGATGGATTTTTTGTTTGGCCTCCCTTTAAACCTGGTTGGGTTGGAAATATAACCACCCAATGTTTTCTGGCTGTCATCTAAATTGAGTCCCCTTGTCCCGTTGTCAAGCAGTCTTTTAATGGGAGTCGGTTGAGCCTTAAGGGTTCCTTCAGGGTTGGCGGGTTCAGCTCTTCTGCCCCGTCAGGACGTGGCTGCACAAGCTCAGGCTGAGGCGCCTCGAATGCAAATCAAGCCCAGTGCTTCTAGTTGCCACAGGCAACCAGGGGATCATGCAAGATCCAGAGGTACAAATGTGCTCCAAAGTTTGGGTTTTCCTTTTGCTTTCCTTTTAGAACTCCCCAACCCGAAAACGAAAACGGGTACACCCTACAAAAAGACAACAAAATATCGAATACCTGAGCCCCAACCCGCGTTTTCCGGGGTGTACGATGGAGGGGTCCGGGCTTATGGAGTTTATGGGTCCCCAAATCGACTTCGGCGTCGGGAAAAACCACCCCGAGGAGCCGGCGACATGGGCGTCCAAGCCTTCTCAGGCTCGCCCATGGCGATCTCGCGCGTCGATGCCGATTCCATTTTCCCTGACCTCCAGTGGCCAACCTAAAATCCACCAAACAGCAATGCCCCCGTTTTTTTTTCAGTCTGGAATTCCCTGGTTTTGTAACCAACAGAACCACCCTTTAAACACTAGGGGAAAAGCTGCTTCTCCTTTTCGTTGCGAAAGGCCTGAGATCCACTGAAAATGCCCAAGAATAGGTGGTTTACACCTGGAATCATGACTGAATGTCTGCCTACTGCAAAAGGCGAGCTCACCTTGTGAAGCGAGCTCACTATGATGTAGGTCCCCAAACTAGCTTGCTTGAAGGGTGGTATTGCCGGCTTCTCCATCTCACTTCCTGAGTTCATGAACTTTAAACTTTTTGGAATGACCATTTTAGTGGTAAATATACAGTTTGAACTTTTTTTGGGCCATTCACTCAGCAAGTGAGCCATAGGGGTCATGAGCCGGTGTAGAAGTTGCCGAACATTGGTTTTAGAGCACACCCCTCGCAGAATTCCAAGCACCACCAACCACATCCACCCCCAAAAGGTTTGGAACTGGGCGAGTACACCCAAGTGAGTTCCAACATCGTCCTTCCAAAGCACGCACGCACGCACCCACGCACGCGCACACACACACACACACCCTTACCCTTTCTGGGTTTGTTTGTGACCCGGGCTCAGAACACACTTGCTTGGGAGCATGAGTCAAACTTTGCAGTGTCTCATATCCCTTGCCAGCACTTCCCCAATCAATGGCTAGCAAATGGCCCCAGAATCGCCAAACCATTTGATAGCCCTGAACTGTGATGGCACTGCAATGTTTGAGAGGAAATTGTCAAGTCCAGCGGCTGAACACGCAGCTTTGTGTTGGGAGTATCCCCAACAAACCAGGTCGGACAGGCCTCATGTTGCCTTGGTTGAAGCACACTGTATGGGTCCCCAAAGCGAGTCAGGGTTTAGTAAGGGGAACCCCGAGTTCTCATGATGAAGCTCCGCTATTTGGGGTTGGCGAATAGCAGAATGTGGCTCAGCCAGACCCTTGTAAGAGAGCCCGACCCAGCAGGAGAAGTACCGTTTCCCACTCCCAACACCCACTTGTTTCGAGGGGATGTCAAATGTGTTACGCCCCAGGTTCCTGTCATTTTGGGTTGGACCATGGCAAACCAAAACCCCGGCCCAGGTATCAAATGATGGCTTGTTTTTTTTTTTTTGGAGTTTTGCGGTTTGTCTGTGGTGACGTTTTCTTGAGGAGCCAGGAATTGAAACTCGAGCCGAAGCTTAAACCCCGGGCTCGGCCACAGTTCAGCTGGGCTCTCAAAGAAATTGGGAATCAATACGGGTGGCTCGTCGTTTTTGGAGGGAACATTTTTTGATTATGAAAAGAGAAACCGAAAGGAACACCACGATTTTGGGGGTCACCTAAAAATAGACAGCAATATATTATTTTGATTTTGACAACACCCTCTCAAGGCGATGCAATTGTTTCCTGGAGGCATAAACCAGACACCCAGAAATCAGGGACCCTACCACCCCAACCTTCGCCGTGCTACGATTGGGGCCGCATTTGGCTTGTTGGATGTTAAGCCTGATGGACCCGAAATTGTTTTGGCGGGTTTCCATTCGTGTAACCAAGGAAACTACCATTTACAGGGGAAAACTGTGGCACTGACTGCATCGGAGAACGGAAAGCCCCAGGCCTTGGGTTGCGCCAAGCGCCATAGACAAACTTCGGGAGATTCTGGGGTATGTATGTTGACTGGAGAAAGTCAGAATCTCAGGTTGCTTCCTTTCAGCCTACTTGGGTGTGTCCAGAGGTTGTTTCTCTGCTGGGCAACAACTTGGGCCTGAAATACTGAAGCCCACAGGCTGTGACCAACAGACCGTGCCGTTGGTAAGCCTCGGGCCGCCAATCCGCGCTCCGATCGGAGGTGGATCGGCCTGCCGTGTCCGCGGCGGCCGCATCAGCGAAGGACGGAGTAAGATTCTTTCAGGGTCGGATGAAACCGTGTTTGAGCAACTAGGTCCTGAGATACAGGGCATCATTGGAGCAAACAGAATGCAGGGGCCTGTGGTGCAACCGCATTTGGGCCCCTTCCACCTTTTGGAAACAAATGATGTTCCACGAAATTTAGTTGGACCGCTCGGCCAGGGGCTATGGCCCCTCGACTGCAGACCGAGCCAATGGAGAACGGCTCCCGACCAATTCGTCACAAATCAGTCTCATGTTTAAGGGACCCCTAGCACGGTCGGGACTTCAAACGATGCAAACCCACGACGTCTAAAACTTGTGGTGTCCAAACAGCAGTGCTTGGGGCGCACAAGTGGTTGGGTTATGTTGGGTTTCTTCCCCCTCTTCTCCATGAGGGGTTGCAAAGGGTCCGCACCGTTGGACACCCCTCAGCGGATTTTTGTTTGGACCCAGAAAACATGGGGCAGTGTCTCAGAGTTTCACTTTCGTTTGCACATGCTCTCTGGGCCTTGTTTATCACGAGCTCGCCTGAACAAGCTCATACAGTATTGGCGTGTCCATGAGCTGGGCGCTTTTTAGGGAGGCGACCATTTCAAGCCCGATCGTTTCGGGGAACGTTGTGTGAGTTGGACTACAATATTCGGGAAAGTAGCATCTGGAACGGCCAATTTGATCAAACCCCCTCAAGGTGGTGTGATCTAGACTCTATACCCTCATGTGTTTAGAGTATGATATCAACCCTTGTCTTAAAAGGGTTGTATTTGCCATGGAAAGACCGGATCTCTAATGTTTATTACCCCCAAAGCGGTTATTTGGAGCAACCCTTACAAGGGAAATACGTGCGCATGTTCTTGGTTTGTTTTGAGGGAATTTGGGAACGACCCCTTGCTGGCGCTATTGGGTTCGTGTAGGGACTCGTTGGCTTTTTCCACATGCCTATGAATCGTAATTTGATATCCCTTTTCTGTGGACACAAATTCCCCCTGACGGCCACATCCCAAGACTTTCATATATTCAAATCCTGAGATAAGTTGCAACCTGCCCTTAGCTGGCCACGCCCATGGAGCCACATAGACTCACAATGGTGCATCCACCCGGACTGCCTCGGGGTCCAGGTAGCATTTACCCCCAGCATGTCCAACCAAAAACAGGCGAGTTGCAGGACATCCAGTACCCTCCATCGCAAAAGGAAGCCGGGTTTGATGGTCTGACCAAGTGACTTGGACTTGAGAACATCCCAAGGGGGTTCGTGCCATAGGAGTCGGCCAGCGTACGGCGCTCAGACGGGCCTTGTTCTCCCGTCCACAAATGGCAAATGGCAACGAAGGTCACTGAACATTGATGGCCCTTGGGGGTGGGTGAGGTTGTTTTGTTTGTACGACTTTTTGGGGATGCCGTTCAAACTGAAGCCACGTCCAGTGGTGCCCTTGTTTTCAACTGAGTCAAAGCTTCTTGTTGGGAGGGGTTTCCCTTTTAAAGTCAACGGCGGCACATCCACAAGAGGTTTGGGTTGTTGAGTTTTCTTGGTTTCAAGAGGGAACAAATGGAGCTTTGAAACATGCCCTGTGCAAGCAGGCCAAATTGCAGCTTGTGACCTGTTTTATTGCGTCAAAAATTTGTTTGCCGCCCAAACAGTATTTCTTGCAGTTGGCTCGATTGGGTACCCCCCCTTCGGCTACCCCAAAGCATGGATTTGAGCGTCCTTCTTTGAATCAAGCGCTTGTGGAATCCCGCAAGGCTGCACGCGAGCGGAAGTTGCTCACAGCAAAAAGCAATAAAAAAGAAAAAATCAAACAGAACTAGAGTAGAAGAAGGGTGATTTTTTGAAGGGGTTCAACTAGAGCTGGGTCAACAAGGATAATGGCGAGGTCTGTAAAAACCTTTGGCGTTCTGGGGCTGCTCACTTGCACACGCGACTCCATATCTCACCTTTGGGGGGATTTTCCGATGTCTTCTGTTCGTCAGGGTTAACCTGACGCAGAGTGGCAATGAAATTGTGCACTAGTTCCGAACCTTAAGAACGAACAAGTGGCCCAAATGAGCGAACCGGGGGTTCTAGAATCTCTTGTGATGTTGCTTTACATTGACAAGAATCAAAGCTGAGATAGTTGTGTTATGAAGGTGAGATAGGTCATGTGCTCTCTCCACAGATTGATGACCCCGTTCTAAAGGGTTATGGAGACTCTAGGTAGCTTTTTTGACTGACCACCCTTAGCACCGAGTTTTCCCCGGAGGGTTCGGGTGGACGTGCCCAGGCATCCGATGATGTTCCTGGCGGGACCCGTGAGTCGCAGTCGCTTGCGGCAAAGACAAAAATGTTTTACTTTTGGGTGTTTCTTGTGGGGGGTGGTATCGTTTTGGTCCTAGTTTGAGAGTCATTCTGATCCTAGTTTGAGAGCCGTTTGTCCTAGTTCGTGGGTCGTTCTACACCGGTCCCGGAAACATATATGTTTTTCAGACACAGCCGCGGGCTTGTGAAGTTGAGTGAGTTGGGTTGAGTCGAGCTGAGTTGAGTTGAGTCAACATGAGTTGGCCAGGTTTTGTAACTATGATCAAAATGACTGAAACTTGCGACCAACAGCACTCAGCAAGCTGAAAACGTCCAAAACGGCCCCAAAGCTGACTACGACCAAACTGACTCAGAAACTACGACCAAAATGGGAGTGCTACCGTTCTGCCACTCGTACTTGGTTTGATTGTAGGAAGGCCTCTATGACCTGTGCAGCCATCTTGGTAGAACCAAGAGTCAACATGTAATGGCTGCTGTGCTAGTTATCTACCCTCTACTCCAGAATATGTACGGTGCCAAATCATGTCTGATAGCTTAATTTGCCCCCTACATTGTCTCCCATGGAAAATGCAGCTCCTTGTTGTAGTCAGGGCGATATCCTTGAGACAAACGGCGGTTCAAGTATCGGGTGTACTGATTTTTCTTTTTAGCTACCCCGGTTCTTTCTCCCACGGGGCTATCTGCTCTTGAGGAGTAGAGTCAAGCCTTTGCTCCAAAGGAACTCTGATTCACCAGCTCGGACTCCAAAGACGATGAACCACTCAAAAGGGTTGGCCTTCAGCCTGGTTGCAGGTGGGTTCCCTGGAACATCCAGTGCCAGGTGATATCAACAGCACCCCCCAACAGCACCCTTCCGAAACCCGAAAACGCCCGAAGCCGCTCTCAATCCAGGACTCGGAAAAGGAAGATCCCTCTCTGCCAAATTTCATGGGGTGGGTGGGCTCGTCGGAAGTTCGTCGGGATTCTGGACTAACTTGTGATACCCCTTTCAAAACACGTTTTTTAGTGGGTTCACAAACAGCATGGCTCAAAACCCATCCGAAGTCGCCGCATGCACTGTTTTGCCCCACCTCAGTGATCGCCACTGATGTGAACCGCCCTACACCGCCCGCTTTTTTGCAGGCGGGAGATCACCACATCCCTGGCGTTTAGCCAGGAACATGTCGATCTTCGCATTGCCGCTCAAGTCATTCATGAGCTTAGCGTGCAAATTTATCAGCTCGGCCTTCTTCATCGACCTCATCTTGGAAGAGATGGCCTCATCCTTTGACATCTCACAGATCTTCGCCTTCAAGGCCGCCACAGTCATCTTTGCCGCAGAGGCATCATCTGCCTCAGAAGAGGCAAAGCTGATGATTGTCTTGCACACAATGTAATGCCAATTCAAGAGCAATCTGGCCCACGACAACCTGAAAGTCTAAACCGTTGCATATGGTACAGGGCTAACAAAGGCAACAATCAACTATGGCAATGGCAGCAAAACAACCACATGTTCCCTGACCACACCTTGCCTGGCCAGCGTGACTGATCTTCTGCTTCTTGCGCATCACGCCATCCTCCTCCCAGCGGGTTTGAATTCATGGCATATGTTGCCAAGTATTGCCCCGGAATGCCCCTTTTTGATTGTTTGGATTGATTGGACTGATAAACCCATGCCTCCAGCAAATCAACAAGGTCCAAAGGGTGATCGTTTAGCACTCACACATGAAGCTAGATACCCGGCGCGCCGGGTCCGCCAACACCTTGGGATTTCATCCATGCGTCACCATTAAATATGAGCTAAGGTATCATATATTCACATTGTCTCTCTTACCAAGCTAATTGCACCATGAAATAGATGTGGTAGAGGTTTGGTGTGGGGCCGGGAACCGGCGCGCCGGTGCCTAACTTTGATGACGCTGTGCACTCACCAAAACCAAGCGCCGGCGCGCCGGGTCCTGCCAACACCACAATCATTACCATCTGTTTATCTTCATGTGTGAGCGTTAACAATGAACCCATGTCATTGAATATTTAGATTAGCTCACATAGGAAGCTAAATGCAACATGAAATAAAGGTCTGGTGGCAATGTGTGGGGCCGGGAACCGGCGCGCCGGTGCCTGGCTTTGATGACGCTGGGCACTCACCAAAACCGAGCGCCGGCGCGCCGGGTCCTCTTGTGCGAGCGTTAATAATGAACCGATTGGCTCACATAGGAAGCTAGATGTACCATGTGATGAAGGTCTGGTGGCAATGCCTGGGGCCGGGAACCGGCGCGCCGGTGCCTGGCTTTGATGACGCTGGGCACTCACCAAAACCGAGCGCCGGCGCGCCGGGTCCCGCCAACACCACAATCATTACCATCTGTTTATCTTCATGTGTGAGCGTTAACAATGAACAAAACTAACTATATTTAGATTGGATCACATAGGAAGCTAGATGTACCATGAACTGAAGGTATGGTGGCAATGTGTGGGGCCGGGAACCGGCGCGCCGGTGCCTGGCTTTGATGACGCTGGGCACTCACCAAAACCGAGCGCCGGCGCGCCGGGTCCCGCCAACACCACAATCATTACCATCCGCTTATCTTCCTGTGTGAGCGTGAACTAACAATACATGCTCTCGGACTCTGGGTCATTGAATGCAAACACTGGAACAACGAAGTGGTAATGCTTGAAATGGGATGGCATCATGATTCATGTGTTGAAAAAAACATTAATACAGATGACTGAGAAGCAGCTCAAACATAAACCTAAGTCATGCCCTAATATCTCAACCCTCCCAAAAACACAAACAAACACAAACGTGGGCCGGCCCAAATATACCCCCCCCTTCTCACCCCGGAGCAAAAAACCATCCCTGGGGAAAAAATCAGGACATACCATACGGCGATGTCTTTACTAGCCCTGGTTTTTTTTCCGATAGGGGACCTTGTGTAGGGAACCCGGTGGACAAACCTCGGGCACGCCTCCGCAGATCCAGACGGCAGCGCCGCCTTCTCCTCAGCCTCCGCATCTGCCTTCTCCTCTGCTGCTTTCTGCAGCGCCGCCTTCTCCTCTGCCGCACTCTGCAGCGCCGCCTTCTCCTCAGCCTCGGCTGCCTTCTCCTCTGCTGCTTTCTGCAGCGCCGCCTTCTCCTCTGCCGCACTCTGCAGCGCCGCCTTCTCCTCAGCCTCGGCTGCCTTCTCCTCTGCTGCTTTCTGCAGCGCCGCCTTCTCCTCTGCCGCACTCTGCAGCGCCGCCTTCTCCTCAGCCTCGGCTGCCTTCTCCTCTGCTGCTTTCTGCAGCGCCGCCTTCTCCTCTGCCTCCGCAACTGCCTTCTCCTTTGCTGCTCTTTGCAGCGCCGCCTTCTCCTGTGCCGCTCTCTGCAGCGCCGCCTTCTCCTCAGCCTCCGCAGCTTTCTGCAGCGACGCCTTCTCCTCAGCCTCCGCTGCCTTCTCCTTTGCTGCTCTCGGCAGCGCCGCCTTCTCCTCAGCTTCTGCATCTGCCTTCTCCTCAAAGGCCGTCTCTGCCGCTCTCTGCAGCGCCGCCTTCTCCTCCTCCGCATCTGCCTTCTCCTTTGCTGCTCTCTGCAGCGCCGCCTTCTCCTCTTCCTTCTCCTCGGCTGCTTTCTGCAGCGCCGCCTTCTCCTCTGCCTCCGCAACTGCCTTCTCCTCTGCCGCTCTCTGCAGCGCCGCCTTCTCCTCTGCTGCTCTCTGCAGCGCCGCCTTCTCCTCTTCCTTCTCCTCGGCTGCTTTCTGCAGCGCCTTCTCCTCTGCCTCCGCAACTGCCTTCTCCTCTGCCGCTCTCTGCAGCGCCGCCTTCTCCTCTGCTGCTTTCTGCAGCGCCGCCTTCTCCTCTTCCTTCTCCTCTGCTGCTTTCTGCAGTGCCTTCTCCTCTGCCTCCGCAACTGCCTTCTCCTCTGCCGCTCTCTGCAGCGCCGCCTTCTCCTCTGCTGCTTTCTGCAGCGCCGCCTTCTCCTCTGCCGCTCTCTGCAGCGGCGCCTTCTCCTCAGCCATTGCACCTGCCTTCTCCTCTACTGCTTTCTGCAGCGCCGCCTTCTCCTCTGCCTCCGCAACTGCCTTCTCCTCTGCCTTCTCCTCTGCTGCTCTCTGCAGCGCCGCCTTCTCCTCAGCCTCCGCATCTGCCTTCTCCTCTGCCGCTCTATGCAGCGGCGTCTTCTCCTCAGCCGCCTTCTCTGCTGCTTTCTGCAGCGCCGCCTTCTCCTCAGCCTCCTCATCTGCCTTCTCCTCTGCTGCTCTCTGCAGCGTTGCCTCCTCCTCGGCCTCCGCAGCTGCTACTGCTCTCTGCAGCGCTCTCTGCAGCTCCTCTTCCTTCTCCTCTTCCTTCTCCTCGGCTGCTTTCTGCAGCGCCGCCTTCTCCTCAGCCTCCTCATCTGCCTTCTCTTCTGCCTTCTCTTCTGCTGCTCGCTGCCGCGCCTCCGCAGCCTCCGCAGCTGCCTTCTTCTCTGCTGCTTTCTGCAGCGCCGCCTTCTCCTCAGCCTCCTCATCTGCCTCCTCATCTGCCTTCCCCGACAGCTCCGCCCCATCCAAGTCATCCACCGGAGGCCTTTCCAGGCCAAGCTTGGCAATGGCCGCATTGATGGCCTTCAATGGGATGGTCTGCGGGAGCTGTTTGTACAGCAGCTTGAAGTCATCTACGGCCGGGTTGTGCACATAGCGCAGCGGCACCTGTTGGGAGCGGCTGAATCACCAAGCACAGTATCAACAGCATTGAATGTGTTCAACAATTTAACAGGGGACAGGGAGCCAAAGTAAAAGGGGTAATGTCAACAAACAATGTGTGAATGGCAGTGCGTGATGTCAAAAACACATTTAATATGAATAGGCACATGGCATGGCATGTAGCGATATTCGGGTGAATATCAAAGAGCACCTGTATGGATCACAATCCGAAGCTACCTCATGACCTCACGCAATTGGGTTCTGGCGTCACCCAGTTTGGGCATGGATTTGATTGAACAATGGATTGTGGTTCAATCATTGGCGCACCATGGCCTTGATGC